TTTATATTGAAAATAAATTTTTTTTTTTTTTTACTGAAGTCTGAGCATTCAGTGCATTTTAAAGAGCAAAATATATTCAGGACACTGTTATTGTCACACGAAGGCTATAAATTTAAAATTCAAAATTATTCAAGAATAAGAAAAGTGTTAGGTTCTTAGCAGTATCTGTGAACCTATATTGCACGTTTATTATTCAGTTTACATTTGTGGTATAAACCAAAAGGCTTTTTTTAGTATCTGTGGGTACAGAATTACACCCGTAAATAATTGCATCTGTACCAAACAGTAATAGTGGGACCTAACTGTTGATGTGGGTCAGGTATTGTCCAAGTGGTGCCACTCTTACTGTTGACGTAATTATTTGTGGGTGTAAACTTCTGGCAATAAAAAATAGCTAAATTGTGGTTTGTTTATCCAGCTTCAAAATTCAGACTGTCAGCTTGGCGATAGTATGCTTGTGCAGTGTGGGTGAGTGGGTATTTCCTTCAGGAACATTTATTTCTGGGAGTAACTCCTGATATTTTGTGTTTATATTTTTAGCCTTCATGTTGCAGTAGTGTTTTTCAGTGCATTTAATTGCCCTTGTTTAAAATGCCAACACTTGAATTGGAACAAACATTTCTTTGAGAGCTGAGTTCACCCCACTCTTCAAAACGGAACAGTATTGTGTTAGTTCATATTATGAGACTGAATCTTTGTAGTGAGAAAGTCAACCAAGAAAGTGCTGCAACCCAGTTCAAGGCTGAATCTTTCCATCATGCAAGCTGTCTCTGCTGACCGTTCCTCTAGAGCCTTTTGTTCTGACATTACAGAGCGTGTTTGGGGGTCTTCACTCTTCAGGCGTCAAAAAAAGAGGAAAGCATTCCTTCAGTTCTGATAAATCTAGAAGTGGTCTTGTTTGGTCCGGAGAAAAAGAGGCTGAAGAGGTATTTAATAGCAGCCTTACAGGTACTTGAAGAAGAGTTATAAAGATGATGGATCCAAACTCTTTGAGGTTGCCGCAAGCGATAACAACTAGCAGTGGTGATAAACTGTGGCTTGGGAAGTTCAGGTTGAATGTTAGGAAAAACAGCTTCACTTAGACGGTGGTGCAGCACCAGGATAGGTTGCCCTGAGAGGTCGTCAGACCTCCCTCTTCGGAGGGTTCACGGCTCAGCTGAACAAAGCCATGGTCACCTGCTCTGCAGTTGGTGACAGTCCTGCTCCTTGGGCAAGGTTGGACTGGAGACCACCAGGGTCCAATTGCCATTTTGAGGATGTTGTGAACATAAGCAAGTTCATAAACTGTTGCTACTTCAATCATTTTCCTCTTGCCCTTTGAACTCAGACTGACTAGAGGACAGGAATTCTGTTTGACAACAAAATGCTGAAGCCTTTACATTTGTTTTTATTCTAAAGTAGAGAAAAAAAGCATTGCAAAATAGCTGATAGTCTGCTTGCAAGGCTACTCAGCCAGATGAGAGTCAGGTTCGATTCTTGCTCTGCCACCTTCATCAAATCTCCAAGCTGTAGAACCAGTTTGTCTGACTTGCTGGTTTCAGTCAGAAAAATCTATTCTAGGTCTTTCTTGCCAGAAACAGTATGTTTCCACAAAAAATCTGTTTCAATAAATCAACAGTTCCTGCAAAAAAAAGTTTTTGTTGAAAAATATCCTGCCAGCTATGCTTTTGTGTGTATTTGAATTAGCTCAGAAGGAGATAGTGACTGGGTGGGATATACAAAAGCTTCTATGTTTAACTGCTTTAAGTGCTCATGTGGAAGGTGCTTCTAAGCCTTCCTGTGTTTTCAATGTCAGAAAAATCGGATCGTCACTGAATGCTTTGGTGTTTTAAAGGCTTTAGCAGGAACTAGCATTTAGAGTCTTTGGCTGCTTTCCATGATATGTCTTGCTGGACAAAATTCTGTTTGACTGTGGAGTTTAATAGTAATTGCTTGTGATGCTGAAGCAAAGTTCACGTGTTTATATGAACTTGGATGTTCCTGAAATCAGTATTAAGCCATGAGAAGTAGTCATAACCACTAACATGCTTTCTGTGCACTATTACCTATGGCAGGAGACTTCAGGAGAAATAGAGTGGGAGTGCGTACACAATAAATATGGAAAAAAACAAGTGATCATTTGCTTTGAAATGCAATGAAGTTCTTTATTCCCTGGGTAATGTTACTTGTTTTATAGTATGTTCATTGAATTTTGGAGAGAACACAGCATGTGCAAAACTGCACTAAGCATACCCAGCTCATTCTGTTCAGTCCGTGATTTTAATGAGATCTGTTTTTTCTGTGCACTAAAGTGAAGCCTTTTTCAAGTGCCAGTATAAGGAGATGATGCTCTTATACCTGCAACAAACTACAGCAAAGAATCCCCTGGAGTTCAGGTCAGCACCATGTCCTTGTTGTCACTGCTGTGTTATGTTCCAGACTGAGTCAGTCACTTGAAAAAAAAACAAAAAAACCACACACACTATAAACCAAGCAAACACATTGGAGGGTTCAGGGAGAGCAACAAAAGTTAGTAATCTTTGGAAAAGAAGATCTCTATGAAAAAGTTGGTCAGAGTTGTTAAAGTACCAGCAACAGACAAGGGCACTGAGCTGCAAATAACTTGAGAAACACGAGAGTGTTGTAAGACAGAAAATAATCATTCTCTTTAATCCAACCAGAACAGATCAAGAAGTAATTCTTCCGGGAGCTGTGTAGCATTAGGCAAAATATTTCATATAACTTTTCATAACAATAACTAAGGAATGTAAGAAGCTTGTTAAGGTTACCAGGAATAATTGCTGCCATCAGGAGACAATTAAGGCTTAATTAGCAAGTGCTGAATATAAGTGGATTTGGGCCCGATTAAAAAGTATTCCTCCTACAGTAAAGAGGAAGATGAATTCTACTAGATGAAAGCTGGAGAGTTGTTTAAATTAATAACTATAAGGACATCTTGTCTTGAGCAAAATGGTTTCTAATTTGTTGTCTTGTGCCAGGAAATCCTTTTTGTAGGATTGGGAGCTTCATGGTCCTTTTTGAAACTTATTATTTTGCTGAGAATCTTCAGCAGAAGAAGCTCTCGACAAACGAAAGTACTTAAAGTTGCAAAGAAAAAGAAGAATACCAGCATAACAGAACAGCTTTATGTTTACCCGTAGGACTGGTTATGGAGTGGAGAAAAAAAATCAGGGGCAGTCCCAAACTTTCAGTATAATTTCTATCCGAATGGGAAAGCTACATAAATTTTTAAGACCTTTCAGCATTTTCACAAGAAGAGACTTGTCAAAGTGACAGCTGCCCCTGCCTACCCTCCTGGGAACAGTCAGTAGCTTTGTGGCTTAGAGGGGCATTGGGTGTGTGAGGTACCAATGCTCGGTTATTGCTGTGTGTGATTTGCATAGGGCATGCTGGCCAAGTCTGCCTGTTTTGATGAGAATTTCCACCCGGGCCACAGGAAATGTTTGTGACTAGATTTTGCTAAGGTTTATAGGTACTTTGAGGTACAACATTTTGACAAAATCACAATCTATCAAAGGAGCAGCCAGTTTTCCTGACCTTGCCAGGCTGCAGTAAACCCTTCCTGTGGCAGAGATTTGCAAGACTCATATAGTGTCGGTTGGAGAGCTAAGGGAGGAGGAACAGCCAGCACAGCTCCTAGGTAGGAGATGGCTCCCTGGTATCTTGTTTTTTGACAAGTGGGGCTGGGTGAAGGCTTGCTTCCTCAGGGACAGGATTTGGGCTGTCCAGCAGCCCTCACCCCAGAACAGTGTGGCTGCCACAGGTCCAGCCTGGGAGCCCGGTTTGAACTGCTTGGGAGCAACAGACTGGCCAGACTGAGTTACAAAAAAAAATTCTTTGTTTGTTTACACGTACCTGATTATTACCTCTTTTGTCTTGAGATGGAATTAGTACAGAACAGAAATTCCTAACATTTTTCCAGTCGTTTCTGCCCTTATAAGTGAAGTGAAGTTAGATGTTCAGTTAGTGCCAGGCTACTTCAAAAAGGAAGCGTTTAAGCCAGATGTTTTGCCAAGTGGTCTCCATGCCATGTGCCAGATGCTGCTCACAGGTGGCCACGCAGGTACCCAGGAAGTTTTGACCACATGTGCAGGCAAGGCAGTTTTGCATTGGCACAGGAACACAACTTCTGCTGGTCCTTCTGGCCCTCCACACCTCCTCCCAAAGCAGGTGTGAGGATCCTGCTGTGCCTAACCTGGATGGAGTGGAGGGTTGAAAGTACTTGGGGGACAGTATGAGCGTCCAGCAAAAAACAGAGAAGATAGACTGGCTCCTCTTCCTTCACATGAAGATGAGGACACTAAAAGTCACCATGTTCAGCTCCCTGCCTTCAGTAGCTGATTAGGGCAGAAGGCAGACTCACCATGGGAGCGCTGTTGCTTATTCCTGTGCCTTAAATCTGCAAATTGCCAAAACAGCCATGACAGTCTTACAGCTCCAGCACCTGGACTTGTGTGCAGCTCTGTTTTAGCTGCTTGAAGGAACAACAAAGAGCAAAGGGCTTGCCTTTACTCTTGCAGAAGTAAGCCTGAAAATATGACCTGAGTGCAGCTGAGAGGTCTGGATTGCCAGAAGGCAAATAAATTAAGTTCACTGAAAAGAGCTGGTGAATATTGTAATCTGCTGAAGGGGGGGTGGAGGGAGCAGGGGAAGAGCTCAGTGTGATCCCTGGCGCTGGCAGCGCTTTGGGCTCCGGCACCTAAATCCACTTTGGCATGGGAGAAGTCCCAGTATACAAGGCTGTCACCTGGGAAGCCGTGGCCTCGTCAGCATCGTGGCGCCTTGGGTGCCCATGGAGCCTGTGCTGCCATCCTGCCAGGTGAGCTAAGGCTGTTCGTTAACTGTGCTAGATCTGGTGTTGCTTTTCAGCATGTGCTTTTCCCTTCTTCTAGCTTTGGGGAGCCTTCTTCATTTATTTTTCTTAATCTTCTCTGTTCTCCTTGCCCTCTCCACAGATTTGCTTTTCAAGCTATTTGCAGGTAAGGTGCATACAGGGCCCTCTCCACAGATTTGCTTTTCTTTAAGCTATTTGCAGGTAAGGTGCATACAGGCATCGCCAAGTCATCAGGTGTCTGTTTTACTTACAGCTTTGATTCTGTGGTCCCATCCCATAGCTGCCTAGAAGCGGCTCTGAACAGGGCTTATCCTGTGCTCTTTCTCTGCACTGTAGTGCACCCTTGGATGGACAAAGGGCTTAGTATCTCCCCAGGACTGCTGCTCCAGGGTGGCCATCTACTGCCTTGGCAGCAGCGTGCCCTCTAATTGTACAGCCCCTCCGTTCAGCTGGGCAGCAGGGGTGCTCGCACGTGCCGCGAGGGGTGAACGGCCCAGCTGGGGAGGACCTGAGTATTTCTTGTGTTAGTCGCTGTGTCCTGCACTGGAGGAGATGCTGCTGTGGGAAATGCAGTAGTGCTCCTCATCTCAGGCAAGCTGGGGGATGTGGAGTAAGGGGAGGCACTGGGCTATCCATGCTCTGCTCCTTTCATGGGTGAGTGGCAAGCGAAGAGCTGGGGAGAGTATTAATTGTCCCAGCCCTACAAAGCAGTATTGCAACTGATGTTTTGGGAGTTTGTATCTGCCTCTGTAGCTCATCGCTAGTGCCTGGATACAGGCGCTCCTCCACTGTTGAAAACTGAATCCTACTGCTCCTCCCTCCATCTCTGGAGCGCGATCCTCTGCAAAAGCCGACTGTTCGTGCCTGCCTGACAAAAACGCCTCCTTTGTTGCTGAAGGGTGTGGACCATGAAACTCACTTTTTCCGTGATCTCTGCTTTATTTCATTTCATTCTGCTTTCTTAAAAGACAACAATGAAAACCCGAAATCTTTTATAATTGAAAACCCGAAATCTTTTATAATTGAAAACCCGAAATCTTTTATAATTGGATGGTGGTTCTGATGAGTGGCCGTTCCTGGCTGCTCCCTCTCCTTGTATGGAACGACTTGTTCCTGGGCTGTTTGGAGTTTTAACAGTGAGGAGAGTTTGGCATTTTCATACCGTTGCCTTGTGGCCCACACGCCTCTCTGGGGTTTTTACTCAAAAATTCTCACGTGCTGGTTGGAGGCTGCCAGCAGCCTGTACAAGCAGGGACTAATCTGGCATGAAACAGGGGGCCTCCCCAGTGTACAAAATGGCACCACTCTAGCAAGCCTCTGTGCAAATGAGCTGCTTGTCTGGCATAAACCGGTTATGTAATCATCGTCCGCTAATCTACCAGCAGTCAGGCTTGGCTCGCAGCTAAGTGCATACGTGTACACCTCTTGGAAGGTGTACACCGTGTCTGTAAGTGACCAAAAACTGCCTGTATCTTTCAGTAAGGCCAACTACTACCCCATTATTTTGAGTAGGGGGTGGTCCATATCCCAGACGTGTGGGTGAGACCATCCCTCTCGGGGGGATGGGTCAGGGGATGTTCTGCCACAGTTCTGCCTCGCTTGTGAGGTGACGGGCTCCGTCAGACCTTGTTTCTCCAACCGTGTTGGCGAAACACTTCATTTGTTGGGAGTTGTTTGTTTGTTTTTAATTTTGACTGGATGTACAATTTGTGAAGGGAAGTTAATGCTTTCACACGTCCTCGTTAGCACAGATGTGCAGGAAGCCTGTGCGCTGCACTGGCTCTGACTTTCCGAAATGGCTACGTGGAAGGCAAATAATGTTCACTGCATTTGCGGGGGAGAGGGTGTTTTGGTTTGGAGGTGTCTCAAAATTAGAAAAACTTTTCTTGTCCTGGAACGTAGCAGGTTGGGTGCTGTAGTGAAACACTTGGCCACCAACATCCCACAAGAACCTGCCCTGATTTCTGGTTCTGATTTACTGAGAGAAATGTTTCACATCATTCACTTGACACAGCCTTGTTACAGTAAAGGTGTTTTTCAGTGCTCTGTAGGAAATGCCAAAGAGCGTAAGCCAGATTTTCAAACTGATAAGGGAACCTTGCAGGAACAACAAAAAACACTATAACCTTCTCACCATTCTCCTTAAACATATGATTTGACAACGTGGTTGCGTGAGAGAACTGCTACTCAGAAGTGCTTGCATGAGAAAGGAAGGATCATGGCAATATTCCTCCAACCAGTTTTCTGTTTGCACGCAGGCTGATTCGCTCTTCCTTGAGCGTGGCTCACAACTGCACGCGTACCTCTTGGAAGCAGCACGTAGCGGTTGTGAGTGAATGGGAAATGACCTAATTGCCACCCGGTTTCTCAAGCAATGTGGGAAGCTCTGGCTTTCCCCCCCTCGCGCTGTTTAGCTGTGTGATCCATGGTTTGCAGCGTAAATGACTCTTCAAACTCAGCAGCAGTTTCGTGTAGATCTGCTCTTTCAATGTCTATCTACAGGTAGGCCAGTGTCTCTGCAAACAGATAGCAGTTGTTAACCAGATGCAACACCAGTCCGACTACTGCTTGTGAAAGCTTCTGCTAAATCACAGCTTGTGTGACTCATTCAGTTATCGATTTTTAATTACACCTCTGTCTCCTCTTGTTGCATGTTACAGGCATCAGACATGCACTATGCATACCTTTGGGCTGCCACTGTTAATACGCTGTTCCGTTCAGGCACTTACCAAACGACTTTGAAAACCAAGCCTCGGTGCTTCCCAGCCTATATGTCTTCATCCTATAACGCTCTTTCCAGAGCTGACAGAAATCAGACCATAGGTATCTTCTGGTTAAACAAGGCTTAGTTGCCCAATTTAGGCATTTTCTCAAGTATCCTGCCACTCTATCCCTCTGGTGAAGCCAAGTAAGCACAGATGTTATTTAGCTCCTTTTCCTAACACTTTGCCATCACTTTTCTGTACTTTTTTCTGCATTACAGAAAACACAGCTGGTCTCCGCCTTTCCTAGCTTGCATAATTTGCTTACACTTTCAGTTACAGTCTTGAACTTCTTGGCATTGTCTGGCCTGTCCTGATCTATCTACTGCTTACAGACCAAGATATTCCTGCTCTCAAGCAGAAAGTTTTACACAAATTGAAGAACTGAAAGGGAGCTGTAAGGGATGGACAGCCTGCAAGTGTTGAGCTCAGATTGACACAAGCCTTTCCTGTCTCTGTCTCTGCTGTACTTCTGCCTTGAGTGAAATTCACAGTTGTGGTTCTTTGTTTCCCTTGTAATAGCTGAACTTCATGACATATGTACCCTACTGCAATTTGCAACTTTTGGCAGTTGCTGTGTTGTAATAATTTGCAGGGAAATACCAAGCCCTCAGCTTGCAATTTTTTAAGGAAGAAATATCTTCATGCCTTTTATAAATGCTCTGTTCATTCAGTTGACTTGTGTTTTTTTGCTGAGAAAGCAACCCTTCTGATCATTTGAAAAGTTTTAATAATTTACCAGTTAAATGACTAAAATTTGTCACATGATGTTGAGGACCAAATAGTTGTTTATAGAAATACTTAAAAATCCTTAAGTGAAAGGTGTCAATGTAAAGTATCTGTTACCTCTTATATATTGGTTTTCTTAGTGAAATGCAAGCCTGGGGAATGTATCATGTATGAGGAGCCTTCATTTTCATACAGCAGGATGACAAAGATGCACAGGACCTTCCTCTTGGTGGAGGCCCTGACATTGCTGGAGCAAGAACTGTGCTCACACTCTTTTGCAATGCACATCCCCCAGAATGGCTTACATGAATGAAGCTCAGCACACTGCAGATTTGGTTTTGGTTTTGGTCACAAGAATCTCATACACTATTTGCCATAATGGAGAAGCCTGAAATCTAACCAAGGCAGCATTTTTCTTTCTGAAGAACTGATTTAAGGGATAAGTGAAAAGTTCTTAGATTATCTTCCTTGTGGCTTGCTCCTTACTTTCTCTTGCTTAAGTAGTCCTTTGTCTGCCTGACCAGCCCTTTCCACAAACCTGTCAAGCAGGAGATCAGCTCTCTTGGCCAAAGCGCTGCTGCTATTTCATATGAGAGCGTTTGTTAGAGAAGTCCTCAGGAGACTGAGTGTTGAGTTCTATAAATAAAAAAAGAAAAGGAAACAGATGGCACCAATTTCAAAAGTTAAGTGGTTTTTAACTAGTCCAGTAACTAATGTTCTTATATACCTACAAAAATATTACAGTTTTATCTTAGTAAAGATCAAAAGAACAACTTTGAAGCACTTGCCAGGCACATACAGTCATGTGTTTTAATAGATGGCAGACCAATGTATCCTTAAGGTAATGGGACTAACTTGCTGATTTCAAATTTTCCCATGTATTCCTGCAGTGAATAAAGCCTGATGACTGCTTTGTATTTTTTCTTCTAATTACTACTGCTGTGGATCCAGTGTTGCCTCAGTCATACTACAGATACTAAGAGAAGGGAGAAAATGTCTAAAAGCCTGAGGTCTGAGAAAGAGCCTGGTAAGGAAGCATTTCATGAGAGGAGGAAGCCTCTCTAGCTGTGCATGTCTTCCAGAGAAGCTGATTATGTCAGCATCCCTGCAAGTTTAGATCAACCTACTTAATCATGGTTATCTGTTTAACTTCCAGAAAGAGATGGGGAAGAGACAAGACCGTGGCATCCCTGACTTCGATTGGTGCAAGCTGACTCTGAGCTGCAACATGGTCTCTGGGACAGGATGTATTTATAATGTCTAATGTGATCAAACCCACAGGAACTGCCATGCTGCCTAGCAGCAAGTAGAAATGTTGTGTGTCAGCTGCTGGGAACTTAGAAAAACTATTTTCCAATTGTTCAATTTATTCCAAAGGCTGGAGAGGATGTTTCTCCAAAGTTAGAATGAACGTTTTGGAATCCAGACTTTTTCGAGTTATAGTTGAACTAAAGCTTGCTCTAATATGAGATGCTGACTTTTATTAGTTTGTCTGCAAAACAGCTGCTTCTACTTTCCACAAACGTTTAACATCAGTTTAAAGTCTCCGCTATGCCTCGTTGTTCTGCTCTTTAAGCAAAAGACCATGTTAATATCGCTGGGGAATGCCACTTATGTATATGACGAGTCTTAACTCCTTTTTGCTCACTGAAATATGGCTTTCCAGGACATGGACTTCCATTTTGTTTGTCTGGTTTGATTCCTTTTTTATTTTTAATTTCTTTCTTTCTTTCTCTTTCTTTCTTTCTTTTTAAAAGTTTAAAAGAATGCCTCTCAAACAGAAGGTTATTGCTTTTCAGAGTGGGCTAAAGTCAACATATTTGCATGCAGGAGCAGTCTATCCTGCTGCCTTGCAAATTTGGGTCTAACTAAATCTACACGCTTGTGCAAAATAACTCAGCTGATTCCCTTCAGGCACAGATCTTGAACTGGAGGATCCAATTTTCTTTGATTCATCCCAGTTGTCTTCCTTTCCTCCCTGAAGGAGGAAGAATGAAGCAAGGAGGGATGCTTTCTAACTGCCCCCAGGGCTTACTCTCTCCAACAGTACCTCAGGAGCCTAACTACTAGATTTATTCTTTAAAATGCAGTAAGTGCCCATTTAATGACAGAGTAAATACACTGGTACTGGGTAAAATGGACAGCTTTAATACTACAAAGTCGTTCTATTCCATGCCAAAACTTATAGGGACAAGTAAGGGTCAAAGTGGCAGGAAATCCCCTGACGGAGCTCGGAAGTGAGAAGCATGTAACTTATAAAATATATATATATACACATATATATGTGTGTGTATGTATTTATAATCGTGAGTTTCTTATCTTCCCCTGACTCAAGGGCATCTGGCATGACACTGTTATTCAGCCTGCGATTTTCAAATACTTAAGCACCGAGGCGTGGCAGGGCCTAGTGGTTAGGCAAGGCGGGCACCTCCCTGCGCACTGGGAGGTGCCACCACGGCCAGTTCCCAAACAGGCCCCCGAGGAAATGAAACCTGCTACAATAGAGGCAGATCATTTCCCACATTCAGGTCTCCAAGGAGATTTCTTCTCGTCTCAGGATGGCAAGCTCTGGCTTGAGTAAGGCTGATTCTTGGAAAGACAAAGGAAGAGCTAGCAGTAATCTTGATTTTTTTTTTTTAATTATTTCCTTGTTTCAGTGTTTTGTAATGTTTACCAAGGACAATTAGCCAAAGTAAACTATCCAAATGAAATACTGCAAATGAAAAAGTCAGCTGCACGGCAAGCCTAGCTGGTACTTTGCCCTTGAGTGCTTTAGTTATTTAAAATGAGGTGCTTACTTGCCCTTCTCCCACAGAGAGGCTTATAAAGAATCACTCACATACAAACCTGCCCCTGCATGCAGCCACCAGAAGAAAGCTTAAGTAGCGTCTGGAAAGACTCTCTAGCAAGAGAGGGGATTAATATGCTTGCATATTACCTTTGGCAGCAATTGCATTCATTGCTGTGCCAGGGAAGTTATGGAAAGTAAATGGGGAAGGATTATTTTATCGTCAATTGCATTCTGGGGGGATGGAGAGTTTATTTTTGGTACTTCCTAATAGAAGTAAAAGGCAGAGCACAGCACTAAGCGGTTCCTTCACATTTAGAGTATACTGAGCAGTTTTCAGCTGGTGGGAGGCTCTTTCTGCAGGAGGAGCCATATAGAGCCAAAATGGGTGGAAACACTCCCTTCTCCTTTAATCCTTGCAGCCAGTTGCAGGCCTGACTTACCCAGAATGAGTCAGTGGTATCAGTGTTGTCCTGTTACTTGGTGAAAAGTTATGAGCTCACTATTTTTGCTTTCCTTGTCTAGCAACCTGGCTTGCCAGCTCCTTGCAGAGTTCTCTGTCAAAGAAAAGGGGCTGCCCAGCCTGGAGACAGGATTTCCAAACCCTCCACCTGCAGAAACAGAGAACAAGTCACATTTCATTCAGAAGGCCATGTTTCATCATGACAAGTGTAAGGAAAACTTATTTTAAAGGAAAGTTTAGATTGCTGAACAACAGGGGGGAAGAGTCCTGCCAGCTACAGCCTTTCACCATATCCATCTCATCTCCTAATATTCACTGTGCTTCTGTTAGTGATTTTTAAAAGATGCTATTCAACTGGAAGGGTTTGCAGACATCAGAGAGGAAGCTATCACAGATGGAAAGATGGAGGCACCAGAGATGTCTGAGAGGGAATCCTCTCAACAGAGGGTCAAGCATCTCAGTATGTTATGCTTGGCATTTTGATCTCAGGTGTGACCTGGCAACAAAGAGAGTTCAAGGAACCAATCCCAGCGAAGTAAAGTACTCCGAAGGACAGATTTTTAAAGGGAATTTACTGAAACTATTAATCATAGAACATACAAGAAATAAATTTAAAATTATTTCATAAAAATAGGACATGAAAGAAACACAAATGTAACATAACTTCTATATATAGAAAAGAATCTTTATACCAACACTTGTTTAAGTTATAAGGTGAAAAGAAACCAGGTTGCCAGTCTATTGGATTAGAGTTATTGGTAAACTTCAGCTGTTAACACCCAAAGAAACAAGGATCTTCTTGTACCTGCAGGTGTAAACCATATCGTGAGTTCAGTGCTGGAAGAATATCACCTTCTTTTATTTTCTGATCCTGAGGATAAAGCCGAATTACTACAAGTAAGGTAAGAGTTGCATCCATTTTGATATTCTCAGAATAGAGCAGATTCAACTTATGATTACCTCTGAAGCAACCTGTTCTTGTCCTGTAGTCCTAGCTGTTGAGATGGGAAGTTGATTATTTTTACCTATTTTTTTACCTATCGTATTTCCTTTGATTCTGCTTCCTTTGATATCTCTTCTGGCTAAAGGCTGCCATTTGTAGAACATTACTTACTTGAAAGCATGAGTTATAACGCATCCTAGACTTTAATTTAAAGATCTACAAAAGTCTTGTAGCATTACTACGACCCTTCTTGCAATCTTTGTATATGCTGCCTACTTGCATTTAAATTAAGAGCTTTTTTTTTTTTTTTTTTAACCTCTGTGCTTGTATATCCGCTATTACACCGAGGTCTGATCTCTGCTTGAGTTCCTAAGTATTGCTAAAAGGCCTACAGGGTCAGTCATGTTTCTGACCATCACTACTGGAGTAATGGGACATCGCTAAGAGAGGACTATTCATTCTCAAATCTGTGTTGCTGCTGCCGCCCAACCTCTGCTCCCTCTCTTCAAACAAAAACCATGACCTCGCAGACAGTTAGGTTGAAATAAAAACCTGAAAAAAAATTAGAAAAGCATTTCTGATCAAGGGAATGCTGTTGATTAAGCGCACAGCTTTGAGAGAGCAGATTTAACTATCACTGGGCTTGTCAAAAACATCTCCAGATGATTCTGGAAGTATCTGCATTGCCTTTGAAATATTTCTTGCATGGAAATAGTCCAGGTAACTTTGTTTTGGTGTTAGAGAGGAATTCAACTGAAAGCTTGTAAATGTGGATATTTCACCATATTAAAAAGCACTTTGTTCCAGGGGCTGATATCCTACTATGGGGTGTTTCTTTTTGTAGATATTATGATAAAGATGCAAAGGCATATTGGAGTACAGACACAACAGTTACGTAGTCAGCTCCAAATACATCATTACTAAGCTGATATTATCAAATTCAAGGAAACTTATAGAAGAGCAAGAAAAGCAATCTGAGGCTAATAATGAGGAGGAATGATTAAAACAGCTGAGTGCATACTTGAAAATCAGCCTGGGATGTCTGTTTTCAACCATATTCAAGTCTAGAAAGTCAGAGGAAGATCAGATATTAGAAATATCTAATTATTTGAAGTTGTTTTGGTGGTTCTATCAGATTTTACAAACACTTTTCAAATAATTATCAACATTGTTTTATGATCAAGTTTTTTAGCAAAAATTATTTAATGGTCAAATTTTTAATGGTCTACAACTCTGTAGCATTCAAACTTCTAAAAAGTCAGTTCAAAAAGTTATATAAATGCAAAAGTACAGAATGTAAATAACCTCTGCAAGAAACTCACAAATCATGTCATTTTCCCAGTACACAAAAACTTGGAAGGAGGTAATTAGATTTTCCTAATTTTTTTTTTAAAATATAGTGCTTTGAAATGAGAAAAATCAAGAAAGTTATCTGCACTAAAAGAACTGCTGAGGCAGTGAATAACTGAAATTAAAGATTTGAAATGGACTGGTTATCTTTTTCTGAAATGTAGCGTCATGTCTGAAATGTTTCATAGCATCAGATATAGACAGAGGCAGAAAACAAATGCAAAACCTGAACTACGTGTACAAAATATGTCCTGATGTTGTCTTTTTTGGATTGAATACAAAAAAGTTGATATTTTTATGGTATATGATAATGATCTGATTCATTTCCTGCTCAGATTCTTGCCCAACTGTTAAATAGTTTTTTTTTTTTTTTTGGTAACAACCAGTTAAAAATGTATCTTTGCATCCTAGCATGCTGTTTTCCATATCCATACAGGAAACAAATTCTAGCTGATCCTGCCATGACTTGGTTCCATTCTCAGGAATGTTTCCCTTCCATTTAAACAAAATAGAGCATTCTTCAGGATATTAACAGAGATAGACACATTTCCATATACCCCTCTCAACTGGGCAATGCAGATTAGTGTTGGCTGGACCTCTCCTAAACTGATACTCACCCATATGCACGTTCTTCTGTCCAGCCTTTCTTGAAATAGCTTTCCCTTGGAGCTGAATGAAGCCTTTTTTCCTTCTTGCGGGAAATTCCATTGCTAGGATGTTAAACCCAAACTTCCTAACAATAGGCTGCTAGTGACGACTTGCACCCGGTGGACTGTGACAGAGTGTTTTCTCTCCTGGTGAGCTGAAATGAAACAGAAGCTGTCCAATGGCAAGCATAACAGATCCAATTCCTCTGTTCCTCCTTGCCCCTCATATTGCATCTAGCTCTTTGGAGGACACAGAAAGAGGGGAGAAAATCGCCAACCCTTGGGGAACTGCAGCTGCCCTGATGGCCATGGCCAGAGCCTGGTACCTGATTGAGTGAAAGGGCCACTGCTGTAGAGCTGTGACGGTCGTCTACTTTCTGCAGCATCAGAACAGAGAGCAGGGGGAACCTGCTGGGAGAACTATGCACTATATCCCACAAGGGGAGGTTTTGTGCAACCCGGGAGGCCTAAGGTGAGGGCAACTATAGCTCTGACATGACAGCTGCAAAATAGTCACTTTGCTTTGAAATAGCCACTGTGTTTTATTTCTTCAAGAGCTGAAAATCCATTTTATATCAACAAATACCTATATGGATAAGCCCATAATATTAGAGATACTATTAGAGATAACCTCTGCAACAGTAGCTTGGGATACAGCATAAAGAGCTAATGTACACAACAAGAGTGCAATGTCTGGATAGACAGGGGAAAAAAGCCTTTCAAAATGTTAAGCAAGTGCTACTTGTGAAAGCTATACAGATGTATTTGCTGAAGGAGTCTAAAAAGCTGAAAGAGCAACTCTGTATATTGGTAACGTTGAGCTAATTAACAGTAGGTAAACTGAAGAAAATATATTAAAAGAAAACGTGGTTTCTAGATTCTCTTGCTCATTCCTTCCTGTTTTACAGAATGAATCCTCAGCTATAACATGCTAGGAGCTTGTTTTGCTGAGGTGACGAAAGCTACAGTTGGACTGACCTCTGAAGTCCCAGTACTGAGGTGCCTGTCTTTCAGGTTCCCAGGTCCTAGAGCCTCTTTAGGCTCCCTGTGGAGTGCATGGTGGTGATCCAGGGTCATCAATCTGCGATATATAAGGGCTGATACAGCCAAGCCAGCCTATAAGAAAAGCTGAGGTCAAGGCTGCTGCAAGCAGCATTTTTATGGGTCTTGGGCACCTGCCTCCATTTGCGGTTCTCATTCCTGCATGTTTTCTGGGAGCTGGAAGCCTTTCAAAGGGATGCAGGAAGTCCTGAGTGACGTTCAAAGGAAGTCATAGTTGACCAGCTGTATTTCCAGACAGCCATCTCCCACACACACACGTGGAGGGAGTTTCATTAGTTGATGATATAACTTTTATATTTTACCTTATTCCTTGCAGCATGCCAGGAACTCCCATAGCAGGCAAACTTGTACGCAGATGCCTTTGATCCCGCTGTGTGTCTGCTGTTTGTGTTGCTGAGATACCCATTGGCGTACTTGATTGGAGTCCAGCACCATGAAGATCTGTGTAGCCCATGAAGATCTGAGTAGCAACTGATAATGTTTGGAGTAACCTGTTCCAGCTGAGTTGTCTCGGAGCTTTCCACTTGGGGTAACAAATTTTTGTGATGTTGATACTTGGGTTTTATGTGTTTTGTCATAGTGTTCTTCAAAATAGGTCCCAAAACTTGCTATAGTATTTAATGTTGTGTAACTGTCTATCAATCAAAAATCCTAACATTCCTGACAGAAACAAATTATTTTCATCTCACTTACTAAAATGTAAAGTATGGAAAGAACTGAGTTGTTTCATTTTGCTCTGTATGTAGACTTGTTTGCTCTCTGTTGATGCAATTTCCTTAGGATTCAACAAATCAACAGTTCTATTTTGGGAGAACTGAGGGCTTTTCTCCTACTGAGTCACAGTGGTGCAATTATTCCAGAAAGACAGAACTTTCCATATTATTAGAACAAGCCTTGGTGGCCCCCACTAGCTGTTCCTGTTTTAAGGTAGCAAGCCAGCTCCACGTTATTCTGATGGAATGTTTTCAGAAAAATATGAGGGAAAAAAAAATTCTACTTCCTTGCACAGACTGCCCAAAAGGCTGGCTGCTGCGTGCACAGCCACTCTGCTGTTATCATGCTCTGCCACAAGAAGAACAGGATATCCTGGAAGAAAAATAAGTGGAATCTGTTCCTCTGCATTTAAACTTTTAGTCTGCAGATCTAACCAGAGGATTCAGTTGCTGGCAAAGTAGGCCTGAATATGGAACATAATGGAATTAAAATTGTTTATTTTTCATTATAATGTTCCTCTTTTTGTAGTTGAAGATGAATACCCAAAGCGCTGCAAGTCAGATTAAAGCATAGGCACTCGCAGTGCATGCCAAGGCTCTGCTTCCAGAATCATGAAATGATGCCAAGCCTTCTGCTTTCAATTACACAAGTATTACAGCTCCTGCTCCGAAGACTGCAAACATAGTTTTGAACTCTTTTCCTCACCAGCCATTTCTAAGGGGGTTAAGAGAAGGGTGCCACAGGTTCAGTCCAGCTTGCATAGCCACAGCCAAGCTGGTATGCTAACACATCCTAGTTACCCGGGGTAATTATCAGTAAGTGCTCTGAGGTTTGCACTGCTTGAAAAGATTTGGAAGGGATTTCTGCTAGTAGGGCAGGCTGTCCAATGGATTCATGAACTCCCTCCCTATTCTATTGCTTCTGCCTTTTCTTTGAGACATGGTTTTGGGGGAGGGTGTCAACTGCAACCTGCTAGGCCCTTTCTGTACTGCTTCCTCATCCTTTCTCCATCTCCTGAGTGAAAGAACAAAATGACAGCAGTTCTGAATGTGGAGAAAGGAGGAAAGAGAGGAAGGGAAGGGACTTGCTGCGGGATCCTTTGCCCTTAATATGGGACTTTGAAGGGGAAGTATTTTAAACAGTGTGACATGCCCAGGTACTGCAGGGGATAGAGAAGTAAGTACTTCTGCTTGCAGAAGGGAGAGGGGTGCAGGGCTCTAGCAGCTGGAGTCTGATAGCCTAAATCCAAGTTCCCCCGAGTAACACAACACACCTCCAGAAGGAGGAGACAGTGAGGACGGAGTGGTGAAACAAACCTAGTGATCCTGATGGCTGAAGACTAGTGTTGCCACTTGGTTAGTGGGTTTGATCAGCAAGTCCATTTCTGTGGGGTTCTGTCCCACATAAGAACATAGATATATTTCTATTTCTATGACTGTTCTGGTCAGCACCCATCTAATACAGCCCCCCCCCCATCACTGGTAGTTGCCCCTTGTCTAGGAGTAGCAGTTTAATAGCGGAGCACAGTTGTGGCAGGAGTCTGTCCCTCTGCCAGAAGCAGCAATGCAGAGATCCCCTGATTCTGCACCCAGGAGAAAGAGAGCTGTAGCTGGAGGTTAGGGAATAGTCAGCTGAGGATACTGTGCATTTCTTATGCTGCTGTCAGATAAACAGTAAAATTTAAAGCAAGAGAGCTTTAAAAATGATCACCATAGCTCTACCTCAGCCCTAGGCTGAGATAAAGCCTATCTGACAAAGGGGTTTTGTGCCACTTGTGTGGTGTTTGTGCTTGAAACACTGGCAGTTTCAAAAGCAGCTTGTTGCAGCTCTCTGCCCTTCTGCTGGGAAAAAGTAATGTACTGGCACTGGGGAAGGTACATGTTTTTTTTAAAGGGCTATAAAAGAGGACGGACAGTCATAGCTTCAACCAGGAAAGGGAGGAGGAGAGGGAGCACTCACAAGATGCAACAATATTCTACACTAAATGTGAGGTTACCCTGGAGAAAAAGCAGACAAATTATATTTTCATCTTAAAGACAAGTTTGCTCCTGCTTTAGACTCTAATTTCAAAAGGTGTTGTTTTGAGCCCAGTGCTTCAGCTCACTTTGGATACTGATGATCTGGGAGGCAGCTGGCTGATACTCAACCTCTGAGTTTAGAGCAATTGTGGAGGACGTTTCTGGTCTCCCTGAGCATTCTCAGACCTTTCTAACTCCAGATAACCTGCTAAATTGACCTGGAATGAAAGAGAGAGGTGTTGTGGTACCTGCAGACTTTTTCCTTATTGATGGAAATAAGTAGAATGCCCCTACTGATGTCTTGGTTTTTTTAAGCACCTTGCTGAGCTTGCTGTTTTGTCTGTGGATTGTAGCAAGGGAAAAAGGTCATGGTGATTCCAGTCCTCTCTTTCTGAGAGAAATGAAAAGCCTGCATTGCGTTATAGCCTCTTGCATATGACTATGAAGTTTGTATTATCAGTCCTTCTCAGTCCAGGTTCAAGACTGATGGAGAGTTGAGGAGGAAATGCCTGTTTCTTGGTCAGCAAATACCACGTAAGGGAGAAGATCTGCCTGGACCACGTCTGAAGCTACCTGTCTGCTTCCTTATGGGCTGGACCGGAGGCATGGCTCCAGATCCCACAGCTGACTGCCACAGTTTTATCTTTTAAGGCAAGTCAGGGGCTGACCACACCAGGTTTCATCTAGACACCAGCTACAGCTCAGCTGAGTTAGCTGTGACACTAATTAGTCAGTCTTGTTAACCTGTTGGTGCCATGAAGAAGGGAAGAAAGAAAGAAACCCTCCCAACAGCCTATCTGGTCCTAAGCAATCAGTTATTTATAGAAAAAGTCCATCTTGATTCTCCTGGATTTCAGACTCCTGTGATCGGAGTCAGCTGTGTGGGACTAGCCACAGCTGGATTGGGGTGTCACTGTTCACCTTCAGGAATTGTTCATCTGGTGAACATGGCCAAACTCCAGGTGAGTGCTGCTTATAAAGCCCTTAGCTGGATCTTCTGTGCTTTCTGCATGAATAAATCACTCCCCAAGGCCCAGTTTAGAAGTGTGATGAGAGTGGGCTACGCCTGAATGTTAGGAGGCAGTCAGTATGTCTGAAAAAATAACGGATACCTATCTAGAGTGTCTACAAATGCAAGGTGGGGAATCTGTAACACATGGAAAAAAGCATGCTCTTTACACATTAAATACAGTACATGGCCTCATATTTCTTCTTCAAAGCTCTTTACAAATTTAACTATTTTTAACTTTATCAAGGAGTTGCAATTTTCATGACAAAACAAATAGGAACGAGTCACCTCAAACTCAGAATGTTTTAAAAACTAAAAGTATTCTCTCTTTAAAAACAAGAATCATTCTAATCAAGAGAGGCTAGAGGGAAGAGTCAGCTTTTGGGAACTTGATGACATTCCTTCACTAAAAAGCCATTTCCCTTCTCTATGTCACACAGCTTTCTCGAGTGTCTCACTTTTTGCACAGCAAAACTGCTTTAAAAATGTTGTTACAGTTACTGTATTTCTTCAGTAACTGACCAAAAACACAAGGGTATCTCACTCTTTCAGTTCATTTTTTGGAAAGCGTTAAGTTCTTAGCCTAATATGCAGTGTTAATCTTAATGTAGCAGGATGAAAGTTTGTTATGAGACACACTCAGGCTTCTGTCTGGGCTTTGTCATCCTTGGGCAAACCGGTAAGCGCATGTGGCTAGGCAGGTGGCAAGAGTTTGTGTCTGAGTCATATTTTCAGGCAGGTACCTTTCAGTGCAAGCATGTAGCAGACTCTGACACAGCACAGAAAAAAATGGAAACTGCAGTAGAAAGGTTTGGTGTTTGAATTTAACAGATTTCTCTTTCAGAACTAGTAAGAAGACTTTTTACCCCTTTATGTATGTAGTGAAATGGCCTTTTGACCAGAAGTGTGTTTCCATTCAGTTAGGCTAAAACAAATATCATCAATCCTTCCCTTTCAGAAATGCCTTACGTGTTTACAACGGAATACTTTCTTTCAAACTGTACCTTTTTTCCTGAGACAGAATATTTTTTCATTTTGTATGCATTCCCTATTTGTTGATAACTAAGGACTACGGTGGTCTTGGAAATGAAATGATGGTGAGCGTTTCTTTGGTGTTCTTTATGAGCAAATAATTTGACTCCAATATTTATATATATTAATAATAATTTGTAGAACCTATATAACAAAATAACTTGGCTATGCAGACATTTTCTGTCTCAGTACAGTAAATAACAAACCCCTTCCCCCCTTTAATTTAAAATTTAAAAGTAGAGATATAGGGAGCAAAATGCAGTTCCATCTAAAAACTATTTCTGCACTTAATGCTGCAGGAAATGATTATGAAAGAATGACTTGCGCAAAATGGTTGCATCAGCCATTTCACTGATAGGAGCTGACTGTCAAAAGGAGACGGATCTGCAGCTGAATTTCAGCTTTTAAGAGAATTCAAGAATAAACTGCTTTTTTTTTTGTCTTCAAGCAGGAATAGAAGTGGTTGAAATCTGCCTTTGAAGAGCAGTGTCGTGCATGGTGCGTTTCACAAGTTGCATGCAGACTTCAAGTCATGATTTTGTTAGGACTGCAGCTATTAAAGAAAAAGCTGTACAAGCTGATATTCTTTGTTGGACAAAGAATAGTTAATAAAAACTAGGAAACTGTCAACATAAGGTTTTGCCTGAGGAGCGCAGCCAAAATATTTTCTTAGGTCTGTCATTACACCAGACCTGCCAAAGGGTTTCCAGCTTTTATTGTAATTGCAGGTATGAGGTGACTACTCGGATCCTAAAGTACCTGATCAGTACAGGTCTACAGACATAGACAGAAATGCAACATGCAGTACACAAGGTAAGTAAGTATTTACTCTGTACATATTCAGGATTTGGGAATACTGTTCTTTTGCTGTACTGAAACTATTCACAGCAGCTTGTGAACTTTAATAAGTGACTTATTTTCTAGAGAAGCCAATGGTGAAATGTTCTTTGGCACCAACAGCAGGAAGCATAGCCCTTTTGTAGACTAAAATCAGTATTGTTTTAATTACATTCACTGTTTATAAGGTGACAGGAAAATCTAATACTGCAATCTATTACCAGTGCTGATTTATGGAAAAGGGTGTTAGCCTTGTTTGGTTGGATATCTGCTTGTTCTGCCTTTTTAGTAAAGAAGGTAAATTGCTTATGTAATAGGTAAGAGGATGTGCCAGAAACCTACTCAGCTTTGCTTTTTAGAAGCCCTGAGATTTGTGAGACTATTATGGGAGACCCCAAAATCTCTCCCAGAAAACTGTGCAGTGTAGGAATCCACACACCACTTCTGAAGTGAGGAGAAGGCAAACACATACTGCGGATTACCCAGGCAGTCGTACCTTTTTTTACATTTTGGCTCTGTCCTTGCATTCAAGGCACTTCCTCTAAGTAATAATTGATGGGCAGGCTAACACTACTAAGGCTATGGGCATTTCTAACAGTATTTCTCTGTTCAAGATAGAAACATCCAGTCATAGCTTTATTACTGAGATGGGGAATAATGCTAAAGGTCTAAGAAATGAGGGTTTGGTGAATGTGCATATGAAAAGATAGGACTATATAAACGGTTCTTTCAGACTGTTCAAACAGTATATGGCTGTACTTCAAAAATGAGTAGTGCCCTATGTTTTCAAGGTTGAGCAGTTGAACTAGGATCCTTTGTGTCACAGGATAACTCTGCAAGGTAAAATTTCAATCTGAACTTCCTAATGAAATTGCACTGGATTTCAGTTGTTTTCAGTGGCTGTTCAAAATAGAAGCAGACACTATCCTCTCTCCTTTCTGTTTCCTACAGCAAAATGTTAAAATCAACAATCATGCTTACCTGGCGAGCGTGGGCCATCTACATGGTTCTATCGGTAAACCTCTCTGAAGAGCAAGCTCTGAAGCAAGTTTGTCCTTCATGCGATGCCACTCAGTTTTGCAACTGTTCTTCCAGGGGTTTGGACTTCATTCCCTCAGGGCTCACGGGTGAAATCAGGGGCTTAAACCTGGCCCACAACAGGATAAAGCACATTCGAGCACGCGATCTGCAGCAGGCTGTGAACCTGAGAGTCCTGCTACTGCCATCAAATGAAATCAGCTCAATAGAGGAGGATTCGTTTCGTTCCCTTGCAAAACTGGAGCTCTTGGACTTATCAAATAACAGCTTGGCTCACTTGTCCCCTGCGTGGTTTGGGCACCTTTTTTCACTGCAGCAGCTCAACATTCAAGGAAACACCTACAGCGACCTGGGGGAAAGTTCCCTCTTTTCTACCCTGAGCAACTTGAGCTCTCTCTACCTGGGCAATCCGCAGTTCTCCACGATAAGGCAAGGAAACTTTGAGGGCATTACGCTTCTTGATGAGTTGTGGATTGACGGCAGCAATCTCAGTCAGTATGAGCCAGGAAGTCTGAAATCAGTTAGGAAGATACATCACATGATCATCAGCCTAAAAAGGGTGGACGTATTCTCAGAGATTGTAGGGGATCTTCTGCACTCCGTCGTATGGTTAGAAGTTAGAGAGATCAAATTAGAGATTGAGAAAAAAAGTTTAGCACAAAATTCTACACTTCCTTTAATGATGCAGAAAATTACATTTAAAGATGTTATGTTCACAGACGAATATATTAGCCCAATAATGGTACTCTTGAAGGAAATAAAATCTTTGCAAGATATAGAGATAATAGATTGTGTACTTGACGGGACTGGAGTGTGGCGTACTGAAGAAACTGCAAGCAGTGGTCCAAGTTCTGTTGAAACAATATCAATTACAAATATAACAATTCAGAATTTTCATTTGTTTTTAGACCTGAAAAGTGCAGAGTCACAAGTAAAGGACCTGAAAAGACTCAGAATTGCAAGTTCTAGAGTTTTCATGGTACCATGCAACCTTGCAAAGCATTTTTCATCACTCGTATATCTTGATCTTCATGATAATTTGCTTGTAAACAATCGCTTAACTGAGACAACCTGTGAAGGTGGTTGGCCTTTATTGCAGACTTTAAATCTAAGTCAAAATTCTCTAAAATCTCTAAAACAGACTGCAAAAAATTTAAGTCATCTATCCAAGCTCATTAATCTTGATATCAGTCAAAATAATTTTGGTGAGATTCCAGACACGTGTCAATGGCCAGAAAATCTGAAACATTTAAATCTGTCCAGCACTCAAATTCCTAAATTAACAACCTGCATTCCTCTGACCCTTGAAGTTTTGGATGTCAGCGCTAATAACCTGAAGGAGTTTGGGCTGCAACTCCCTTTCCTCAAAGAGCTGTACGTTGCGAAAAACCAGCTGAAGACCTTGCCTGATGCTGCACCCATTCCTAACTTGGTGGCCATGACAATCAGGAGAAACAAACTCAACAGCTTCTCCAAGGCAGAGTTTGAGTCCTTTAGGAAGATGGAGGTGCTGGATGCCAGTGACAATAACTTTATCTGCTCCTGTGAATTCCTCTCCTTCATTCATCACGAGGCTGGAATAGCCCAAATCTTAGCGGGGTGGCCGGAAAACTACATCTGTGACTCTCCCCTGACAGTGAGAGGGGAGCAGGTCGGAGCTGTACATCTCTCACTGATGGAGTGCCACAGATCCCTCGTTGTGTCGTTAATCTGTGCGCTGGTGTTCCTGGTCATTCTCGTCCTTGTGGTTGTCGGGTACAAGTATCACGCGATCTGGTACATGAGAATGACCTGGGCATGGCTTCGAGCCAAGCGGAAGCCCAAGCAAGGTCCCCCAAAGGATATTTGCTATGATGCTTTTGTCTCCTACAGTGAGAATGACTCTGACTGGGTGGAAAACATCATGGTGCAGGAGCTGGAGCAGGCCTGTCCTCCCTTTCGACTGTGCCTCCATAAGCGGGACTTTGTGCCTGGGAAGTGGATTGTGGATAACATCATTGACTCCATAGAGAAAAGCCACAAAACGCTGTTTGTGCTGTCGGAGCACTTTGTGCAGAGCGAGTGGTGCAAATACGAGCTGGACTTCTCGCACTTCCGCCTCTTTGATGAGAACAACGATGCGGCGATTCTCATCCTCCTGGAGCCCATTCAGAGCAAAGCGATTCCCAAAAGGTTCTGCAAACTGCGGAAGATAATGAACACAAAGACCTACCTGGAGTGGCCTCCTGGAGAGGAACAGCAGCAGATATTTTGGGAAAACCTGAAAGCAGCCTTAAAATCATAGAACAAGTCAGTAATCCCTGTTCCAGCATGTTTTCACAAAGGTTATGTCAAGATTTTTCCTGTTAAGAAATGTTTATTTTCTTTTTCTGCTTAATGAGGCCTGGCTTTGCTGTATATAGAAATAATTATCTTCATGCTGAATGAAAATGACCAACTGCAAGTTTTCCAGTGTTGTTGAGACTCTGGTCTTTCCAAATTCCGGGCAATAACTGTGACATTGGTAAGACAACTGGACTTGAAACTTTTCTAAATACATTTATCTGAATTCAGTGTATTTCTGGAGTTATTTCTCCTGTTACCACATCTCCAAACAGTTCCTATCAATGCCGTTCTTTTTTACAATGGAAAATAAAAGCAAAGTACCTCAATTCTTCCCTGTGTTGTTCTCCTTTAGTTTATTTTCAGTGCCATCATAGATAGCAAGACAATTCAATTTCTGAAGAAAAACTGAGTCTTTTGATCAAAATAAGTCTTCTGAAGCCATACCATTGCTCTGCAACACAAAAAAGACAGTACTAAATATGTACCTCCACTCACAAGTCTGTTATTTTGTCTAGTTACTGGAATCCACAGCTTCACACAGGTTGGGCTTTATTCAGTAACTTGTGCAGGAAGCATCCTGGCACCTTGCGCGATGAGTGTGGTGAACTCTAGAGGTGTTGAATCACTATTTTTCTTTCTTAGGTTACTTTCTCCCTATGAAGGGTTGTTTCTCCCTTCAGGATCTCCACGTTCCCTTCTGTCTACCCACTGGGTATGGGGCAAGGATGTTTTTCTAACGAGTCGGCTAGATAGTATGGCAGACTGGCTTATTTCTTTCTGTTTCTGCATTTTTGCACAGCACATGTAATGATTGGGCCATGCATCTCTTACAGCTCTAAATACCTTCCATTTATAATCAACAGAGTATATAAACCCTGATAAGGGACAATTCATCTTCCTACTTCAGTGTGAGATATCTCCTGGAAGTACTGTAATGCTCTCCGCTAATTATGAAGGGAATCTAGACAAGTAGGTAGATGTGGATGTTTATCTTTGGATAGCTGGTCTTATCCTGAGTGCCTGGAGTCAGAGCTGCCATGTGTTTCTCATGTTTTAGAGAGATACTTGTGGAAACCTGAAATCTGTCTCTGAGAAGGGATAAAGTTTGTGGGTTCCTGTAACTCAGCATTCCCATACTTCACTCTTCTTGCATTGCTGGAGCTTATGTACAAAAGATTGTAAATGAACTGTAGTTAAACTTTATATATGTAATTATTTTGTGGTGAAATACCAAAGCATTGGCATATGGGCTGTTTCCAGGTGAATATTTGGAAAATTGGGAAATTGGCCTATACATGTGTGTCTGTGTGGGGGTATACATGTATATATTTAAATATGTAGTATATCTGTATATGTGTGTATATATATGTATATATTCACACACACATATATATTTGTGTGTGTGTGTACACATATGCATGAGATTATATTTTTGTGGGCGTAGCCTGCAAACTCCACTTTCAGTTCTTGGTTTTACTTTTGTGTTGTAATAACATCTCTTGTGTTATTCAAAAGTCTGCTATGAAAGGACTTTTTATTCACTCTCAGATAAGGATTGCTCAAGGGCTGATCAAGTCTGAACTCTAGGTAAGTGTTCAGTGAATTGACTGGTAGCAAACACTGAGCAGTTGATAAAACTAATTAGGAGGCTGACTGCCTAGAGGTAAGGAGGGAGAAGTTGTCTTGCTGGTCATTTTGAAGAGAGTGTCAGACAGAGGCAGGAGAAGCCTTGGCTTTTCTAGAGTACGCCCTTAGCAAAGACCTAGACTTTTACGGGTTCACACGTTTAAAAAGACTGGTAGTCTTACTGATCTTGTGTGAATCAGATCTCCTAGGTGGGAATTTCCCTGCTTCGGTAGCCCAGGCTGAAACATGAAGCAAAAGAGAAACAGTAATGAGAGAGGAAGCTGAGTAAAGAGTGACTGCCAAGAGAGAATTCAAGGGCGAAAAAGGCAAAAACCATCATGCTAACACCAGAGCTTGAGCTGCAGTCCCAGGGAATCTTTTCTGCACAGAGGTGAGTTTGCAGGCAGGTGGAGGCTGGAGATGCAAGGAGAGAAAGAGGAGCTGCAGAGCCACAGCAAGCAGCGAGGAGGGAGCACTGGGAAGGGTCTATCTAATCTCTTCTCTGCCTTGGGTTTTCATGATGCTTGAGGCTGCTGGGCAGGGGTCCAGCTCTTGTAGGGAATGTGGGGGTGAGGAAGGCACTTTTAGGTCCCGGCAGCCATGGAGCTGGCAGGTGTGGTTGCAGCCGGCTGGCAGGCAGGCAGCAAAAGGCAGGTTCCGTGAGCGTGCTGGGACATACTGATGGGAGCAGTGTGCTCGAGGAAAGAGGGAGAGAGGAAAGCCACTGCCTTATGAATAAATGAAAAAGAGATGGCTTGGGACAGGCAGTGTCCCTTCTGCTCAGTTTCCGCTTGGCAGGGTGCCTTGTAGGTATTTTGCCCCATTTGTATATTGAGATTGTTACCACGTGCCCAGGAAAGGCTGGGCTTGAATACAAGCTGTTTTTGTTTTAGGAATCCACCCAGGTAAGAGATCATTAGCAATGATCTCCGGGCACTGGGCTCAGATGTATACTGCTAAAGCGATGCTGGTGGGTGATACCCAGGACGTATGTTACCCACGCACAACTAAGTAGAAAGTAATAGCTTTCCGAAGTCTACTTGGTGGCCTGATCCTTTCACCTCTCACGCTGCAGAATCCGTTTAACAGTTTAACATTGTTAAAGCTTAACAGCCCTCTTTTAGCTTGATACTGTTTCCCATCCGAGCATCAATTTGCACGTTACAGGAATGTTTTATTCTGGCTGTTACCGCTAGTTGTTATAGATCCTCTTCCTGATGACGCTTTTTTTTTTTTTTAAGAAAATGTACATATTCCCTCAAATACTCCTACTGACCTGTGCCAGGAAAGATAATCCTGAGCATGTCTGAAGGCTCAGGTGTTTTGTCCATAAACCAGAAACAATTTGCAAGTTTAGTTCATCACAGTCCCTTATAAAACAAGGGCTGCTTTGCAAATTCCCTTTTTATATTAACTGCATTCCAATTTCTATTTGGAAATATTTTTTTTCCTAGTACAATGGGGAAAAGCAATTCCTTGGCAGGGCAATGATATTGCGGGGTGGGCCCGTAGTTGTGTGTGCAGGGGACTGAAAGGACTGTGTAACTCAGAGCCTTAAGCTGCGTTATTAGACATAAATGGGAAGGGGAAGAGAACGGCTGAAAATGAATGAGAGTAGAAATAGGACTTCCCTGGGGCCCCCATTACAGACAAGCAAAGAAAACTGGGGAAGATGCTCAGGTGAGTGACAATAAAGAAACACTTCCTTGTAACACCTAACTGGAATCTATCCTGTAGTCTAGCCCTGGCTGGTTTCAAGCTGGTAAGACAGAGAGTAGTTAGGCTCATCTGGTATCTCCAGTGTTGGACCTGGCCAGTTTCCTTCTGTTCTATCAGCTTTCCATCTGTAAATAAACTACCTAAGGGTAGATTATTTACCTAGGCTGCCTAGCTGTTTCTTTTTCTAATAGTATTTTTATGGCAATTTGGACTTGCTCTTCATTTGAAAAATTCCACTTAAATTTGCTGCTTGCGAACCTGATCTTAATAATAGTTTTGCTCATATGACCTACAGCACCGTGTTATCCAGCCAACCTAGCATGACCGAAGAAGGCCTGTAAAAGAGCCTCGGCTGGACAAAAGGTGAGTGTGACTACAGATTGTAATTCTTCGGGTGAGAATCACCTGGCTAAATATCTAGATATCTGAAATATGGTGCTCCATTTTAAGCTGATGGTGTCATTTCTCTTGGAGTCATCACATCTTAAAATGGGTGTCTAAATCAGATGATGTGAATTGCCCCTAAAAGTTGTTATTTTTCTCCATTGACTTTAGAGGACATGGTGGGTAACCAGCTTAGCAGTGGGCATCTGAAGACAGGGGAGAGGAATCAAGATCCAGAGCTCTACATCAGAAGGAGACAGAGATTAAAGGAAAATAACACAAGAGGTCAAAATGGTATTAGTCTTTCAGATGGGAAGCGATGGAAAGATGGAAAAAATTATCCACATCCTTTCTTCTTCTCCCCATGTGCCCCAGTAACAGCTAATTCTGCCACTTTTGAATAATTTAAAGCAACTCTGGTTAAGAATAGCACAGTTAGGACAGGACTTGTCAGTTTGAACTTGTCTGCATGGGCCAGCTATTGTAAAACAAATCAGAGTATGAACTCACAGTAGTAGATCATCTTCACTGAGTTTCAGTGGGATGCCTGAAGGAGAAAGTGCTCTTCAGTGAGCCAGTCTAACCAAATTAACCAAATACAGAGCCCACAATGATCTTTGGGAATCTTTTTGTTGGCCTCTTTGGGGCTGGTTCACTCTTTTCACCTTCAGTGAAATACTTAACCTTCCCCAGCGTGTCATAAGATCAGTGGGAGGTATCTTGTGCTTTACAAGTCCTCTTTGATCCTTGCCAAGGAAGCTGTATATAAATGAGAAAGGGTTACAATTCGGTATGTCACAAGGTTTTGAAAGGAAAACAGTCCTCTCAGGCTTAAAGAATTGTTTTTCCAACTCCTCAGAGAGACAGTAGAACTAATGCCGCTTTGTTGTGAGGGAGGAAGGACTGGAAATTGTGGCAAGCTATGTAATACAGAAAGCCATGTCAAATGAGAACAATGAAAGGCACAAATGTCTGCAGAAAGAGAAGTGTGACAGGATCTCTGTGTGGATCCACACTGGCTGTGTGGATGCTCTTGAATCATTATAGTCCAGAAGAGGAGGAACAGACTGCAGGGCTGGAAGAAGGTGGTCCAGTCCAGCCTGCTGATCTGCAGGAGGCTCCAAGAGCCCCTGCCTCTCCCTCATGGCTGAGACTTGACCGTTCTCTGTCACAAGAGACCCAAAGCAGAGAAACCCTCTAGCAGAGGAGGAGGCTGTGGCAGTACAAGGGAAGAGCTAAGAGTTAGCAGGTAACAATGGTCAGTTTTCCTGGCTTGAGTTTCATTAGCAATATTGGACTGCCCTAGTCACTGCTCTCAGCTTGGTAATGATGGCCTAAACAGACATCCAGGCAAATATTTATCTTCTTGCTCCTTGCACATTTACGGAGAGAAAAGCCAAAGGCAGATAAACTGAGAAAACAGAGTGAAACATATGCAGTCTTTTCCTCCCTGTTGTCAGAGTTGAGAAGTAGAGGTAGGCTTGAAATAAATATTAAACGTGAAAGTTACTATTTCCTGCAAGACACTGACTGCTATTGCTGTGACCAGGATTTGCAGTGCATGCAGGAGACTCCCTATAGTAAAGAATGCATATAC